TGTGCTGCGGCGGCAACGCCGCCGCCCCCCCTCACGCACCCCCCTCGCAGATCCTCCCCAAACCCGGTGCTTTTCCAAGTCAATCACAGCCTCGGTCACTTGAGTTTCAACCATCAGCTCTTTGACGATGAGCAAACAACCGCATTTAATTAATTTGAAATGGAGGCTATTATGGACATGTATGGAGAGGAACATGTGATGTCCGCCATGGTACAGTTAACGGAATTTATTGCAGCGATGTCTGTCATTGTCGCGAAAGCAACAATCATTTCGAAAAAAGGAAGTAAGGTGAATCTAACACAAAGCTCAAGACTTATACAGTGCTGCTAAGTTAAAGGGGAAGTCAAGTCCATTTTTTGTTGACAATATGTTCTACTCTAGAGTATGTGGACCCACTGTTCTATTTTTGACTTGCCCTCCCCCCCACATAAAGAGGCTAAGATGCAGCCAAGCACGGCTGCGTTTTTTGATTATATCCTGATTGGATGTGATCATCTTTGGTAACTCTTGAAGAAATCATGTCGTAAATAAAGGCATTTAGGCATTTCATATTTCTATAGGTGCTTTGTCCCAGGTTCTATTTCAACTATTTACAATAACCTTACAATACTTTATATCCTCACCTTCAGGTCCTGTGGGATTAAGTTGTATTTTTTCTTTAAGAAGATAAAATACTAAAATAAAATATTTTGGGGTATATCTGCAGGACAAACAACATTTTTCAATCGTTTGAGTTCAGGTCATCCATAGCCACTCAAGTCACCCCAAGTGTCCTCCCAAACATTATGAAATGGGTGATAGAGGATACTACATCATACATGGCGGAAGCTTCTGATTGGCAGAAGGGCCATCAATACACTCCTAATAATGACGGTGAATCATTCCAATCACCGCTGACAAAAATCAAGATGCAGCCAGCCAGTCAAGGATGTGTAATCAGGCTACTTGAGCATGGAAATTACAGTGTGGGGGAGGCTAGAGTACGGCGATGACGATATAAACCAAACACGACAAATCATGATGATTGAGGGAACATTTTAGCGTACTCGAAGATTGCTGCTATGTATGAACTCCACAGGTGTTGTAGGCTGTGTTCGGAATCACTCCCCATCGACTATTGGAGTGCCCTTTTTAAGATACATTTGGGATTCAATCTGTTGGCCTTGCTTTTTATATATATATATATATGCTTTGATATATATATATATAT